ATTGAGGATGATCATTTCGGTTTCCCAACACCAACTAAGGGTCGAGATGGGGAGAAAGACAAAGGTGTCGGCAACCCATAATAAGAGACTCCGGGAAGTCGCCAAGGACGACATTACTTTCACGGAGGAAGACGCAGATGGATTGTTGTCGCCGCACAATGATGGTAATCTCTTTAAATGTCTTAGATTTTAAAATTAAACGTGTTTTGGTGAACCTAGGAAGTTCGGCCAACATCATTCAATGGAGAGTGTTGGAGCAAGCCAAGCTCATCGAAAGCATCATTCCGGCCATAAAACTCCTCGCCGGGTCAACCTAGCAAGTGTGACAATCCGAGGAGAGATCTTGCTGGCCACGAATGCCGAAAGGGTAATGAAGACGACCCTTTTCGAGATGGTGGACGGCGATATGGGCTATAATATTATCTTGGGGAGACCGCGGTTGCACGAAATGAAGGTTGTGCCATCAACATATCACCAGTTGCTGAAATTCCCAACTCCTGAGGGAATTAAACAAATAAAAGGCGACCAAATGGCAGCAAGGAAGATGAATGTGATATAAGTTTCCAGTAGCAAAAGGAAGGAGAATACGACATAGAAATTACAGGAACCGACACCTGCTTCCGAGATGAGCGAAGTCAGCCAAGGGGGAGGAGGAGTCGGAATCCTATCAGGTACCAAGATATTTCATGTACCAGAAGAAACGGACGCAACAAAATCCATGGCAAAAGAACTTGAACAAGTCGCATTGTTCAAAAAATTCTTAAAGAGGAAATTCCACTTGGGGACAGGACTACACTCCGAGCTCATGCCTGGATTTATCGAATTTCTTAAACTTAATGTCGATTTATTTGTGTGGTCGCATGCGAATATGATAGGTATTCCGCCAGAAGTGGCAGTGCACAAGGTAAGCCTGGATCCCAACATCCCTCCGGTAAGATAGAAAAAACATCTTATTGCCGAGGTCAGGAATAAATTCGTCAAAGAAGAGGTAACTTGTTTGCTTGATATTGGTTCAATCCGAGAGGTAAAGTATCATGAATGGCTAGCCAACGTAGTAGTAGTTCCAAAGAAGAATAATATGTTTCGCATGTGCGTAGACTATAAGAATTTAAATAAGGCGTGCCAGAAATACTCATTCTCATTGCCAAACATTGATCAAATGATTGATGTGACGACCGGGCACGAGTTAATGAGTTTCCTCGATGCTTACTCCTAGTACAACCAAATCAAGATGAACCCAAAGGATCAGGAATAAACTTCGTGCATAACGAACTTTGGCACATATTGTTACAATGTGATGCCTTTCGAGCTAAAGAACGTTGGAGCAACTTATCAACGGCTCGTAAACAAAATATTTGAGAAAAAAATAGGGAAAAACTATGGAAGTTTACATAGATGATATGCTGGTTAAGTCTTTGAATGCAGGTGACCATCTGAAACACCTGCAAGAGACCTTTGACATCTTAAGGAAACACAACATATATCTTAACCCTGATAAGTGTGCGTGCAGGATCAACTCTGGTAAGTTCCTAGGTTTCCTCGTTACGCAAAGCGGGATCGAGGTTAACCCCGATAAAATTAAAGCCATCGAAGACATCTTGGAGCTGCTATCAAGCATAAAAGAGTTTTAAAAGGTAACAGGGAGACTGACCTCTTTGAGCATATTCATTTCCCGGTCTTCGAAAAAATGCCATCATTTCTTCGCACTTCTCAAAAAGAAGAATAACTTTGAATGGACACCGGAATGTCAACAGGTTGTGAAGGATCTGAAAAGGTATTTGTCAAGTCCTCTGTTACTGTCAAAACCGGAGGAAGGCAAACAACTACTAATCTACTTAGCGATCTCAGAGGCAGTGGTAAGTATTGTTTTAGTCCGCGAGGATGAAGGTACATAATCTCCTATTTATTATGTAAATAAAATTTTGACGGGAACAAAAACTTGCTATCCATATCTGGAAAATTGGCCTTAGCCCTTGTAGTCACTGCTCGAAAGCTAAGGCCTTATTTCCATTGTCACCCGATAGTTGCAGTGTCCACTTTTCCCCTGCGCAGGTAGGCTGGCCAAGTGGGTCATCAAAATGAGCGAATTTAACATAAAATATAAACCTAGGACTGCAATTAATTCACAAGTTTTGGCCGACTTTGTGACCGATTTTAGTCTGGAAATTTTACCTTTGGCTACCAAAGAAGCAGCAATGGTGTCGGAATCGACATCAAGAGTTTGAACCTTGTTCACGGACAGAGCTTCCAATGTGAAAGGGCCCGGGCTCGGCTTAGTGTTAACCACACCCTTGGGAGAAACCCTAAGGCAGTCCATAAGAACTGTTCCTCTGACTAACAATGAAGCGGAGTATGAAGCTTTGATTGCAGGGCTCGAATTGGCCTGGGGACTGGACTCCGAGGTCATAGAAATCAAATGCGACTCCCACTTGGTAGTAAATCATGTCTACGAGACTCTTGAAGCCAAAGAGGAACGCATGCAACAATACGTAATAAAAGTCCAAGCTCTGCTCGCTCGATTCCCAGAATGGTCAATTCTGCATATCTCGAGGGAGGAGAATGCGAAAGCAGATGCACTATCAAACCTTGGATTGTCCAAAGAGATGAAGGATATGACTTCGATACGGTAGTACAACTTATGTATTCGTTATTGGACGCGGATAGCTATTACGAAGTAAACGCGACCAATTTGGTCTGGAATTGGAGAAACGAGATTATTGATTTTCTCAAGCACGGAAAATTGCATGAAGATCTCTAAGGCATCTCGGGCACTGCGCACTAAAGCAACTTGATACAGCTTCAAGGGGAGTCAGTTGTACTAAAAGATTTTTCCAAGGCCCATTGGCCCGATGTCTGGGAGCCTCCGAAGCTAATTATGTTATGCGAGAAGTCCACGAGGGGATCTGCAGAAATCACTCAGGCGCGGATTCCTTAGTATTACAATTAATTAGGGCAGGATACTATTGGCTCCGGATGGAACAAGACGCCAAAGCTTATGTTCAAAAATGTGATAAATGTCAACGCTACGCATCGTTGGTACATCAACTGGTAGAGCCATTAAACTCAGTTTTGTCACCATAGCCGTTCATGAAGTGGGGAATGGATACCGTCGGATCACTGCCACCGGCCCCCGGTAAGGTAAGATTTCTTTTGATTTTAACTGACTATTTTTTAAGTGGATTGAAGCAGGTCCTTATCAGAAAATCGATGAACGTGAAGTGGTAGATTTCTTATGAGAGAATATAATTTGCAGACTTGTGATACCAAAAGAGAAAGCCTGCGACAACGGGCCATAATTTATAGGCGCAAAGGTCATAAAGTTCCTTGAAGACTTAAAAATCAAAAGGATCACATCATCACCCTATCATCCGGGCACAAACGGTCAAGCAGAATCAAAAAACAAGGTGATTATACAAAATCTCAAAGAGAGATTAGAAGCAGCTAAAGGTAAATGGCCCGAAAAGCTTCCAGGTGTACTATAGGCATACTGAATAACAGCCAAATCGAGCACGGGGGAGACTCCTTTCTCTCTTGTGTACGGGGCAGAAGCCCTGATCCCGGTGGAAGTAGGAGAGCCCACCCTGAGATATTTTCGGGCAAACGAAGAAGCAAACAATGAAGCATTGTTAGTCGATTTGGAGATGCTCGATGAACGCAGGGAATTGGCGCATATAAGGATGGCAACCCAAAAGTAGAGAATAGAGAGATATTAAAATCGAAGAGCCAACCTCCGTTATTTCAAAGTAGGAAACTTGGTTTTAAGGAAAGTAACTCAGAACACTCGGGCTCTCAATGCGGGGAAGCTAGGAAGGACCCTATCGAGTTTCAGTTGTCACCTAGAAAGGGTCATACAAGTTAGAAAATCAAGATGGAGAAAAGTTTCCAGGCAACTAGAATGTGTCACACCTCAAGGGATACTATTGCTGATGAGCCTCGCCTGTACTGAAAGAATGTGTTGCACTCTTTTTTCCTTTGTTCAGTTTTTTTCCCAATTGGATTTTTCTGATAAGATTTTTAATGAGGCAGCAACAGAAAGCATACTACGATAGAAGCTTCAGCAGAAGCAATAAGACCTTTAAATGAAAAGGCACACAAGCAAAGAACCACTAAGGAGCAATTAGATAGTCTTTTGCTCGATAGCAAACTTCTTACCGGAAAGTAAAGTTTGCTGTCGATCAGAGATAACCCGACTGTTCACAAGTGCAGCCACTTGGGGATTGTTAGATAATCTTTGGCTCGATAGCATAAATTCTTAAGGGTAAGTGAAGTTTGCTATTGAACTGAAAATTATCTAGCCATTCACTAGTGGAATCCTCGAAGGTGTAAAACTTCCAATGTTCAAATTCGCATTCCCGAATTCGAACAATAAGGGGAATGATATGAGGATACAGCAACAATGACTGCTACATCGACCTGAATACGAAACCCAAAAACATAGTTGTATCATCGGGACTGGGGACTGCGCGGCCAGCCCCGTAGAAAAAAGTTGTACAAGTTAGCCACAAGAAATGGCAATTTCTTTTTAGCATAGTGTGTGCTTATGTACTTTTGAAAATGGAAAGAATAAATTAAAGTCCTTTTATTTCTATCTTGTTTCTTGTCTTAATGGTGAATTGATTTTATCATTTGAAAGTTAAACAAGTACTTCAAATGCTAGTGCCGTAATGAACAGGAGATGTCTTCTTTAAGAGCACCGTAAACATAAGAGGGAACTCTCTTATAAAACCCTCACGTTAAAGGATTTATTTTGGAAGAACTTATGCCCGGAATCCAAATGTTCTCGAGGAAATGCACCCGAAGCCTTGCACAATTCGACGCAAAGAGTAAAACTTACGCAAATACTTAAACGAAAAATATGCAAAGAGTTGCGTGAATGCTTGAATGAAAAGTATGCAAAAATAAAAATTTGCACAGTATGCAAACGAAAAAGTACTTCAACTCACAGCAAATGTGCCAAGTAGCACAGATACAAAAGTATGGAATAGAAAAGAAAGCAAGAACTAAGATACTGTATCTTCGAAACTCGGAGGAAGAGAAGCATCTGCACCCCCAGGAGAAGTGGGTAGATCCGCCGCTGGCTCAATATTTTGGCCTTCAGCATTATCACCTTTCGCTTGTTCTACAGTTCCTGAGAACTCAGAACTAGGACCAGAAGAGTCAGTAGCATCAGGCCGGACCGGAAGACCCCTTTTGGCAATTGACTCCAGCTCACGGGCCTTAGCGATTTCGGCATCAAAGTCAATGACACCCGCTTTGGCCTTTTCCAAGTTTTTTCTGCTCATGCTATACATAGCATATGTTTTTTCAACAATGAGGGAAGACGCTCGGTGCTGGAGTTCTTCTTTAAGTCGGTCGACCTCGGCAGAAAGGTTATCCCGCGTGGATCTGGTGGATCGGAGGCTGACATCAAGCTCGCGGACAATAGAGCTGAAAACTCTATTGTGCTCGATGGTCCTGTTATGCTTCTCCTCTAACCGGGCATGCTTTGCCTCTGCTACAGTAACCTCTTCAGTTTTGGAGTTTAAGGATGCCTCCAAATTATTCAATCTTTCTGCAGTGGCATCCTCGCGATCAGATGCAGCAAGAACGACATTATGGACCTCAACCCATTTGGCCTTAGTTTCTTCAAATTGTGCCCTTAACGGGGCGACCTCCTGGCTAAGAGTCACTACCTCTTGCTTGCTTTGCTGCAACCAAGCCTCCAACTCAATGGCCTCAGCAGCTCATACTTCCAGTTCTAAGAGGCGAGTAGTAGTTTGGTCTCGCTCGGGCAAAGTCGAACCCACTCGGAGGTAAGTTCCTCCTTGTCATGAATCAGCCTTTGAAGGCCCTCGGAAGCAAGGAAATTGGCCTGCAAAACAAAAATACAACTTCAAAACCATGCCATAACAAAGATAGAAGAAACGACAGAGGAAATAAAGCATATACCGCTGATACGTTGTGCATGGCATTGTTTAACAAACACACTCTTAAGAGAGTTTGTATCTTATCCCTATCTTTTTCTGAAGCCAGAGGCTTCACATAGTTAGCATGCTCCACCAGCCAGGATAACAGATGACATCCAGTAGAAACCGAGAGGGTGGCACTCCTCCTCCTTTGGGGATCTTCGGAAGGGACAAAATATTTTTGGCCCAAATTCCCATGAACTGGGGACTAGGGAAGAGGGACATCCTCCTCTCGGGAAACTGGGGCCGATGGAGATGATGTAGCAGTTACTGGTGGCGAAGGCAGAGTTGGAGAAGAGGGAGATAAAGCAGATGGTGTTGTAGGATGAGAAGCAGCTGCGACAAATATAGTGTTGGTTATTGGTTGCTCATTGTCGCGCCCCCTTTTTCCTTGCGGAGTCCGGATTTCGACATTCATGGGGGAACAACTCTGTTCCTTTTGGCAATTGGGTGTTTGAAGAGTCTCCACCTAACGGATTAAGGTGCATTAGGGCACCTAGAGCAATTAACTCATGTAACCAGTTTGCATTACCAGAGATTAGGGTAAGAGCTCGAAATAACCTTGAGGGGAAGGTGTTAGGCACCCCTCGCGGTCCACAACGGTGGGTACCGGTTGAACTATGTGAATTAGTCAATTAACAAGTAAGAAGTCTCAGCACAAATTTGCAAATAAAGGTAGTTTACACAGTTTAAATACATATATGATCAAGGAGGCTTAGATGGTCTAATGCGCATATATGAAAGTAAAGAGGTTTAGACAGTTTAAACACATATATGTAAAGAAAAAGAAATTTAGATAGTTAAACACATGTGAATTGGGAAAGGGAAGTCCTAAGTTGATTAGCCTATAGGATCAATCTGTGCAATGCCCGGTAATCCTCCTCAACTAGAGGGGCCACACGTGACATTAGCGCGCAGGTCATCATATCCTTTTACTACCCATTACCCTCCCCTTAGTGGTTATAAGCGAGTTTAATTAATGAACTCTAAGCGTGCTTTACCCGTCCCTTCCTTGTGATCCCGGAGGAGTTTAGGACCTCTAGACTTAGGTAGTTCTAGACAACCCTAAGGTGTTTAAAAGGAAAAAGTCTAGGCGACAACAAATAACACATATGATTGTCAATTAAGGAAGCAGATAAAAGGCTCATATTTACCTCCATATATACAAGGCAAATAAGCAGCACGTCTCAAACAACTGATTTTTAAAGAAATTCAGAAAACCTAGGAACATGATATCTAGATGAACATTACATAACAGAACATGCAGCGTTTGTTTTAAGGGAAGTGGCAGAATCCTAACCAGTTTGCCTACTGGTTTTATAGCCTGTTAAGCCTGGACAATTTCATACATAAACAGAACCTGATCTCACAATTATCTAACGGCCTGAGGCTTGCCTAGGCGTGTATATGCAGTCGTAATCTGGAAATCACTTTAAACAATTTGAAGTCATTTCATCCTATAGGCATGCTGATCTAAGTGATGAATATATAGCAGGTGATTTTATACCGATTCATACCAGAATATGCTACCTATGTGTGGGGGCTGTTTTAACCTATTTATTTTAGCGACATGTTTCAAAGCAGATATACATGCAGTCCTAAAACAGGATCTCTAATGCACATGGAGAAGGTTATTTTATTTAAAACGGTATTAGTAACCTAATGGCAGGATTTCTAAGTGATAGCGACTTATGCAGAATCAGAAGTGAAATGATGAACTATAACATGTGATATGCAGAAGCAGTAAATATGATTGTCCTAAGTCAAGATATCTAATGCACGAATTTTGCATGATTTAAATGCGAGTGAGCATAGAAATCCTAAAGCATGGTATCTAATGCGTCATACAAACCTAAAACATGATTTCTACAACAACTCATCATAATGTTAAACCTAAAACATGGTTTCTACCCAATTTACCCCACAGAATGATATAGCTATCCTCCCCTGTTTCACTAGTTACCCCAATATCTGTTTACAAAGAATTATTACAGACCAGGATTGCATAAATGAAAATATAAATTAGACTATCGGGAGCCTGATGCAGGCCAAAATAAACCTGGGAGTACCAGGCCTTCAGTGTAGTCTCAAATGCCAAGAACCTCATAGCCAATGAATGTCCAGGTGTGTCAGAGTTCCCTAAGGATCTCAAGGATCCCGGGCAGTGCTCACACCAAGACCAAATCTCAAATGGGGATTGATTATGTGCAGTGTGGAAGGGCCAGCCCTAGTGTGCCAGAGTTCAGACAGATCTCAAGGATCCCTAAGCAGTACACATACCAGAGGGGAAGAACTTAACAATCTAAGAGTAAAGTGAGAGCTCTTGACACAGTTTGAAAGATTTAGTAAAAACAGTATGGAGATGACTCTAAGAGTGAAATGTTTTCTGAAATGGAAACTAGTTTGGTAGTGAAAAAAAAGTTTGAGAAGAGTACCAAAACATATTTTGAAAACAACAAACAATCAATTGGTCATAAAACATCCAGATTCAGAAACACTTAACAAATAGATATCACATCAGGGTAAAGGGATTGGGGACACATAGAATCACATTGGGGGGGGGGGAGGGGGGTACATGGATAGGGTATAGAGGAAACATACAGACAATAACTGCATAAAACACTTAGGGGTCGTTTGGTTGCCGGTTAAAGTTATGCAGGTATTAGTTATACATGTATTAGTTATGCAGGTATTAGTTATGTATGTATTAGTTATGCAAGAATAAGTAATGCAGGAATTACTTATGCATGCATTAGTTATGCAAGGATTAGTCCTTGAGTAGTGCACGTGAAATTCAAAAAAAAGGCCATGCTAATTGTAGTGTATATAATTCTTTCTTGGATTTTGGTTGAATTTCTTGCTATATTGTTACACACTTTATTTAGTAATTCAAAAATATCAAAGTACAAGATTGTTATTTGCGGTAGAAAACGAACAATGAAAAGTTTGCTGGAGAAAATGGCAATGATTTGTGGTAAATTGATAGGGGTAAATTTGTTATTTCAGTATTTTATCCATGTATTACTAATACATGTATTAGTTATTCCATCTTCTCCCCCACATAAAATAACACACAGATTGACTCATAACTTATACATGTATTATTTATGTAGAATTGTAAAATGCCAACCAAACATGGTATTAGTTATGCTGAATTTTTTACAAAATAACTAATGGCTACCAAACATGGTATAAGTTATGTTACCCCTAATACATGAATAATTTTTCCCCTAACCGGCTACCAAACGACCCCTAAGGGTCTTAGAGACTTAGCAAGTTAGTCATAGACAGTAAACAATTAAGACATAGATCACAGATGTAATATAGAAAGCTGGACATGTCTTGAACATGATTAAATATACAGGCAGGGTCAACCACATATATTAAATAACCAACATGATCACATAGTTAAGGGATTAAACAGATATTCACAAACAGGCTGGTTAAGTATCAGATAACTAGGTGAAGTGTAGACATGCTAATCATACATTGAACAAGACAGAATTTAGACATGCTAAGCAAAGAAGTAAACAGGAAGACATGTTGAATTCATAGTCAATGAACTAGTGCAGGAATGAAACACATAGGGTTTGGGTTTCAAAATTTAACTAGAGACATACCAGTTGAAGAAAAGAGTGCAGAATATAAAGTAGGTGTAGTTCCAATATCTAGCCTTGGCTTTCAGCCGACTAGACCAAGAGTTATCACAAGTAGCAGAGAAAGAAAAGAGAGTTTGAGTGTGAGTGTGTGTCTTTTAACTTGTGTCCGTTTATAGGTAAAAAATAAGAGAGTTTATATAGCACTTAAGGGGTGAATCAAAATAAGGTAAAAGAATCACAGTTCAATCAATTAGGAGCAATTAATCAATCACAGAATCAATTCCCATAAAGGAGTCCGGAATAGACCCCTTAATTGGGGAGCAATCAATTAACGGTCACAACAGGGGTTCCAATTAAGGTAAGGACTCAAAAACATTCCATGTAGGGAGTCAGTAGAAATTCCAAAACCATACTGATAACTAACTAAGGCAAGTATGACTAATTAAGGTCACAAATAGAGAAACAAATAAAATTTCAGCACACACTGATTCTAACAGGACATTTAACAGGAATCAATCAGTAAAATCTTCAAAGAATACTGAATTTAATAGGGAAAACATTTGAATACCTAAATAGAATCAGTGAGTGCAACTGATTCATAGAAATTAACATAATAGAAGAAATCAGTGTAACCATTAGAAACATCTAGGGTTCGAGCATACATACAAAGATTAACCAAATACGTAAAGAGATGAACAAATTAAACATTAAAAGTAGAAAATCTTTTGAAGAATGTCTAGGAAGAACCCTAGTTTAGATAGAGTGACTAAAAATCGAAGTAGTTAATTAAACAAGAAATTTTAGAGGAAAACACCTAATAATACTCGAATCACCTCAGATCTATTGAGAAGAATCGAACAATAGTGAAACTAGGGTTTTCAGAAAATAACTGAGATCAAGAGAATCGGTCAAAAATATATGGATTCATACTTAAAAGCAAGAGAAAATCCATACTCACAAACGAAAGTGGCCTGAGACAGGCCAGTAAACAACTTTTAGGCCAGAACAAGGTTGAATCTTCCATGAGATTCTTCTAAGGACTCATGAAATCAAAGAGCCAGGGAGTATAGGAGACCAGTGGTGGTCGGAGAAGGCACAGAAACACCATAGAAGGGAGGTCTTCGCCGGTGACGGCGATTAGGGTTAGGGTGAGTTGAGAGAGAACTGGAAGGGTGAGGAAAACGGGTGATGGCGGTTGAAGAGAAATGAAGAGGGGAGGGGGGGAGGGTTAGGGTTAGGGTTAGGTGAATTAAAATGGTAAGTTTAATCGTGGACCGTTGATCAAAAGGATCAACGGCCACGATTAAACGGAATTATTGGGTCGGGTGTATACAGATTGGGCTTAAGGGGTTTGGGCTGGTATATTTAAGGATTTGGGCTAATATTAAAGGGGTTTGGGCTGGTATTAAAAGAGGTTAGGTCTGAAATAAAAAGGCTATTTGTTAAATACCCAAATAATTGATAAAAATAATCAACAATGAGAAAAATTATTTTCATGCACAAAGGTGCTTTAAAATAATTATTCAATATTTTAAAAATATAATGGACCAATTTATGGTAAGATAATGCAGTGATGTATGCATGGACTATAATTATAAAATTATTGCAATTGTAACCAAAAGGTATAAATCTGGCCATTTGTGAAATAATTTAAACTTAATATGGCTATAAATAACAAAATTAAATCAATGAAATGTTATAGGGCACTTGTGATGCAATTTTGTAATCATTTATATAAATAAAATACTAAAATAAATTAATTTAAAAATATAGAAATTATGAAAAAATATCAATTGATGCTAATGCATAGTTTTGAAAGTGTATATGCATTTTAAAATATTATAGGAAAAAATTGGGTATCAACACTCGTCAACCGAAGACGGATGGTACCCGGTACTCAACCTCACAATACCAGGCGCGACAACTGGGACTCGGAAGCATGAGTTTGCATCTTCCACCATATCAAACCTCCCCAAGAGTAACGAGGCATCATCCTCGGTTGGTGTAACTAGCTCAATAGATTGAGCATTTTTTTGAGATGATGAAGGTCGTCGTATTCTATGTAGAGAAGCCCCCTCATCACTGCTCCTCCAGCATCATCGATCACCATGGTTCTAGGACCGGCTCAGGCGTGACGCTCATCTTCACGACATTCGGGGATGGCTTAGGCGCTACATTCTTTGCCTTTTTTCCCCCAGCCGCAGAGGAACGTCTTTTTTTTGGTTGCTTGTTCTCCGGTCGGGGACTCGGAGAAGAAGCACTTGCACGAGAAGTAGGCCCGGAGACACCTGTTCAGGTAAAAGCCTCCTGCAGCAGCCTTGTCGCGTCAGCAGGATCAGCCAAAATATCCTCCTCGGGGACAACAACTGAACCCTGGGGTAGACCTTAATTCAACAAGATAAAAAGGTTAATCAGCTATCATATACGAAAGAGAAAAACAAGATGAGTTTAACCTACAATGATTTTTGGCCTTCCACCTATATTTAAGGGCTAGTTCTTTCCATATACGAGTCTCGGTCATAGTAACATCCAAAACCTTTTGGACCCACTGGTCCAAGCCTTCGACCCTCGGTGGAACCCACCGAGTTGCTGAAAGAAGTAAAAGAAGAGGAATCAGTAACAGTGTGGGATGATCTTTAGCTAGAAGAAGAAACAAACGATGAACTTACGAGTACGATCACAATTCCGGAAAGGCTGAAGCCGTGGCCGGAATGATCTCCCCGGTGGCAACTGCAACGAACCGTTCCATCCACCCACGATCGTTGTCATTATCCATGCTGGCTAGAAGAGCATGGTGGCCATGTTTGCTCAAAATTTATCATTCCCCGCAAAAAATCTTGGGGGAATAAAGGTTCATTAGTCGAGCTAGGGTTAGCTCGTCTCCTATCTCCTGGCACAGACGCCAAAGACAAGCGACTGTTCTCCACACAGAAGGACTTACTTGTGCCAGGCAAACCTGTAATGGATGCAGAACTCCACAATAACGGAGTCAAGCTCCCCACTCAAAGAGAACGGCCCCAAAGTGAAGGGATACGTATAAAAATACGTGAAACCCTTCCTAGGTAAGGTTATCTGCTCCGCCAGATCAGGGGTGATAATGTCTAAATCTTGGAAATGGCAATCTTCCTTCACACCAGGAATACTAGAAGGATAGAAGGAAGAAGGGTACACGCCAATGACCCACGTACGAGGGTTAGCAAAAGGATACTTCTCTTCGAAGTGTTTAGTTGCGACAAGACTTCTTGGAATGATGGTGCTCACCGTAGGAGGAGCATCATCATCAGCTTTACCTTTATTTTTTGAAGAACTAGGGTTGGAAGAAGAAGCCATTTTTATCAGAAAGGAAGGAAGGGTTTCTCTGAAAAAGGAGCTTAAACAAAGGTTGAAGACAAAGTACGAGTTTAGTAAAGAGAGTTTGAGAAAGTTTGGAGAATTATGAAGTATAAATGAAGAAGTTTGATTCGTATATGTAAAGGAATAGGCGGCTAAAATCGTGGCCATAATCACCTCGATAAACAGCAAAAGTGATGCTAAATCGTGGGATGACGCGTGTTCGGGACATTAAATGCGGAGAGACTTGCGTCTAATCAACTGTCATAAATTTTTTAGAGGGGGTCAGAGAATTTTTCGCAAAAAAGGTATCTCTACCAACTTTTTGGTGACACAGAGTTATGCCACCGAAAAGCAGGGGGAGTATGTATGGGGTAAAATATGTTCATATTTAATGTTCGCATGAGAAAGTGACACGTGGAGCTGAAGACAGAAGACAAACGGGCCCGAGGGCAATGATCTAGCTTGTTATCGGAGAGAATGATATTCATAAAGGCGAAGTAAATATGCCTACCACCTGGTAGCATTTAATGAAGAATATTCTATAGTATTAAGTGCACGTCCGTTACAGAAAATAAGGCATTTATTGCCTACCGTTACACATTCTTCAATTGCCCTCATAATTGTCATTTAAGGGGGGCTTGATCCTAGGACCTTGTTCCCTATGTACAATTATAAATAGTAAGCTCTACCATCCTTGTAAGGCACATGAATTTGTTCAAAGCTCAATAACATTTCCCTTTCCTGCTTATTTATATTATTCAAACTGCCTCCGGAAGCTCCCGGGCTCAAGATCTCTATCGTCTTATCTTGATTTTAACGTTAAGCCTTATATTTTTGTCTGATTCTTGTATCATTTTAGGATCAAATCGATTCACTTACCTATAAACCAAGTATAAATTCAACTGTACCGTTTTACGGGTAAACATTTATTAACACAACATTGTCAATGCAATTAATACCCACCTTATTAAGTAGTATATTTGTTTGTTATGACGGACTGATCAACTCAAGACCAACTGTGTTATGACTATAAAAAATAAAATGTCAAGATTCGGTGTTTACACTTTACATAGTCGTTATGTATAGAGGAGTATAATTACATCAATTTAATCTATCTAAAAAAATAGGGAAAAAATTGTCAATATTATTAGAATAAATTGTCATCATTATTTGAGACCACGTTGAATAATGAAACCTAGGACGGATAGTGAAAATCAAATGATGTTTACGTAGAGAAGAGTTAATCCTAAAATAAATACAGGGTAAAATAAAATTAAAAAGAAAAATTGATGTTACGTTGCAAAATATCCATATAGCTAGGAGAATCGGAAGTTTCCTTGTAAATTATTGGGAGGATAATGATATCAGATTTTGCAAAAGCACAAAGTATACTCCATATAATAGCCAGCGTGACGCAGAATAATAATTCAAATGACCCCACGATCTTAATTATAGTAAGCAGAAAAATAAGAGATTGGAAGTCATTAAGGCCCAAATCAAACAAAATCAATCAATTCAAATGAAACCTCACTGTCAAAAAGAAGCGGATTCAGAATTTTTATTTGACAGGTTAAACTTTTAAAGTTCTTAGTACATAACATATTATATATTTAAAACTATACGGTTTGATCTATAATATATATATATATATATATATATATATATATATTTCCTCATAAAAATCTAATACTTATTTAAAAATATTGGATTCGGATGAATTTAACAATAGATCCGCCCTAATGTCAAAGGCAACTTAGTAAAATCAGCCTTGAAATACTCCTTTCCTAAACAGTCTTTCTGTTTCCCTTTTCTCAAAACTCCCTCCACATTTCCTTAAACCACACCTTAAACCATCCTGAAAAAAAGAGTCTGTCTCTCTCTCTCTCTCTCATTATGGCATTTCTTCAAAACCAATTTCCACTAGTTTTACTCTTGTTTTTCTTGTTGTTGTGTTTTTCACAGTGTGAAGGGGCTAAGTCAATTCATGATCTCCTTAAATCCAAAGGGTTACCAGCAGGACTTCTTCCTAAAGACGTGAAATCTTACAACTTTTCAGATACTGGACTTCTTGAAGTGTTTCTAGATGGGCCTTGTTTGACTAAGTTTGATACTATGGCTTTTTATGACAGTGTAGTGAAGGCTAATCTCACTTATGGTTCACTTGCTGGAGTTGAAGGCCTTTCTCAACAAGAGCTTTTTGTATGGTTACCAGTTAAAGGGATTATGGTTGATAATCCTTCCTCTGGTCTTATTCTTTTTGATATTGGTTTGGCTCATAAACAGCTTTCTCTTTCTCTTTTTGAAGATCCTCCCCATTGCACATCAGATGGTAAATTCTTTTGTTCTATTTCATTTATCCCTGAATTTTGTTAGAATATTGTAGCAGAGGGATCTCATCCCTCCCATATTGTATTTCTCCTTAAATTATTGTCTTTTTTCTTTCCTTTTTTACATATTTACAGTGTATGTCTCTTTTCATAAGACATTATTTTCTTTTTAATCTGTTTAATAAAGAAAAATAGAATCTGATTTGCTATTGGTTCTCGTATGAAATTCCACTTATTTCGAGGAAAAAGTTCCATTTTTATGGCCCCGTATTGCGGGTTTCTAGTTATACTGACTGCATATAGTTTCCCATGTGAACTGGTTTCTGAAAATGTATTGTGTTACTCGTTTTCTGATTTTCTGGAGAAGTCTTTGTTTTGCTATTGGTTATATGAAATTTCACTTCTTTCGAGGCAAAAAAGTCATTTTTCCTTGCCCCGGATTGTAGTTTCTAGTTCTGTTTGTACTACTATAGTTATCCATGTGATTTCTGAACTGTTTTCTGGAAATGAATTGATTTATCATTTTTTGAAGTTAAGGTACGGCAACTGAACACTTACTAGTACATACAATTAGTGTCTAGTAGTTTTCATATATGTTTAACTGTTTAGTTTCAAGAATTGAATATATTTTCTGTGGAATATGCAGGCGTTTTGAAGAAGAATGGTCGGAAGGAGAAAGGATTTGAAGATCAAAGATAAGAGATGGCCATTTTCGAATTAAATATCCATAATAATTAATTTGGGGGTTGGGGGTGGGGGTGGGGGTGGGTAGTACAAATTGCCAGGCTTGATTATAGGATCTTTCTTTAGACTCCAGTGAGATGAGGATACGGCTGTAAAGATTTTGGGTTATCAGATAGTATGTTGCTATTTTTGTTAATGCTAATCTTCTAACTTTTTATCATTCCCTTTGTTTGATTCTTTGTTTCAAGTTCAACCTCTGTGGATAGATTAAGATAAGAATAAAGCAAGAGATTTCCTACCCCTAAATCTCTCAAAATTATAGTACCTAATATCTATACCAGAATCTTTCCAAAATAAGATTATGTATATGAAATATTCGTACTACTACCATAACTTGATTTTTATTTTTTCTACCATATGTGACCTGCACATTTCATAGGATACTTGTTGTAACGTGGGAGAGATGGGCCCACACGGACTTTGCTCTGCTGTAGGGGCTCCCCTACTTATATGGACGTACTACTTGATTTTCAAGCATCTTTTGCTGGACTTATTATATCGTGGACCCTGGGACTCTTTGTTAGTCTTACAGGTACCTATCAACAAGAGTGCAAACCCAATTGCATGATTGAAGCCCATGTCAAAAGAAAAAGGCAAACAATATTTTAAGTAGAAAAATAAAAATAAAAATTTGAAAGTCCAAAAAAATGAACATTGTTTTGAATAAAATAATGAAAACTACTAATTAATATAGAGAATTTTATAAAAGAAAGTGAATAAACTTTTAGGATAACTCAAGCTAAAAGTAGGACAAGTAATTCCCAGCATAGTAGTTAGTTATTGTATCTTGTGTTTCGTTAACCCAGATACTTACACTTCCCTTCAGGTTTACCAAAATTTAAAGAATTTTTCTACTCATGATTGTAGTTTTCAGAATTTTAGGTTTAACTTTAAAGTGATATCACTTAACCATTTTGTTGTTGAATAAGTAACCCATTTTTTTTCACTTTCCGTGTATATTCTAACTTTTCTTCTAAACATAATTGGAGAAATCTTTGTCTTCTTGAGCCGAGGGTCTTTTGGAAACGCCCTCTCTATTCCAGAGGCGGATCTTGGATTTGAAGGTTCCGGGTGCCATAGTGCTTTGGACTATGACTTGATCTTTTTGGAGTTTCAGTTCGGGTTATTCATCTTTTTGGTTTATATAGACAAATCGATCAAATAACTAATTTAGTAATTATGGTGAGCAACGCATGGAACTTCAATAATATGACTAATATCAACGAAATATTATTATTCATTTACGATTGTCTTTGACGAATTTTCATATTCTGGAGTTATGATTTGATCAAAAGATGGAGAAATAGGACTAAAACTCGCCATAGATGCATGTTTAGATACTCAAAGCAAAAACTTACTTAATAAGCACTAGATATTTCTTTTGCAGTACACTATAAATTTGAAATAGAAGCAAGAATTTATGAAATTTATTACTCAATGGGAACTCATAAGGGAAAAAGAGTTGGCAACAATTGAAGAAAAGGAAAGAAAACAAGAAACAAGGAAAAGAAAGAAAAGGAAGCAAAAAAGAAACAGAAAAGAAGAAAAATGATTCGTTCTCCTGTAAGCAGGAACAGAATTGTTATAAAAAAAGAAAAAAAAAGAAAATGCAGTTGTCAGTGCTCGAACCCAGGCCTAGAAGACAAGACATTAAGCAAGTGCCAATGGCACCAAGCGAACTTTTGATACCTTGGGTGCCACTTCTAATACATATACATTTTCTGTATATACATACATATACATATACGTATTGGACGGAGGTGTGCGGGGTGGCGTGCCACCCCCTTCCTCCTTAGTAGATCCGCCCCTGCTCTATTCCCTCGGGGTAGAAATAATGTCTGCGTACGCACTATCCTCCCCAGAATCCACTAATGGAATTTCACTGTATTGTTGTTGTTGTTGTTGTATAATTCGAGAAATCTAGTCCTACCAGCAGCAAAGAAATTGTCTTAGTATTGTAACAACCGAATTTAAGGAGACATGTAGCATTGTATTTTAGTGACCTATGTTAGGACCGACAAAGCAGGTGTCATGCCGAAACTAGCAAAGCAAACCTTGAATGACGATAAAGCAGATAACATAAGAGAAATATACCAAAGAGACACAAACATTTAATGTGGTTCGGTCAATTGACCTACGTCCATGACGGAGATGAGCAATCCACTATAATAAAAGAGAGTACAAAATATCGAGAGAACAACCTCACGAAGAGGCAATCACAAGTGACACACTAACACTTGTCCTGCAAAGTTCTCCCCCTAAACACGACTCTCAAACCCCTTATGGCTACATTGTGGATGCTACTGAATGAGAAGGACGGATCTTCAATTTATAGAAGTCCAAACCTTTTCCTACAAGAAAAAGGACTAGCCAAATATGAAAGAATTACATTTTCCTCTAGGAAAAAAAGCCAAATTATGGTAAATATGTTGTCCTTTCCTTCATGATATAGGAAAACCAAATATAGTAAGAAAATCAGGACAATCCTAATAATTCTCCCCCTTGGACTGGATTTTCTGACAAAATAAATTTGACCCATCTTCTCCACATAGCCTTCAACAGGTCGCATATTCAAATCTCCACCACTATGTTTGTCTCAACGCGAGTAGTACTTTGGTCAAATTTCTCAAACAAAAATTATGATTATCGTCAAATACGTTGTGGCTAGAACTAAACCCGCCAAGATGAACTTGTCTTGAACCTCGCTCTGATACCACATGTTAGGACCGAAAAAGTAGGTGTCATGCGAAAACTAGCAAAGCAAACCTTGATTGACGATAAAGCAGATAACAGAAGAGAAATATACCAAAGAGAGACAAACATTTAACGTGGTTCGGTCAATTGACCTATGTCCACGACGGAAATGAGCAATCCACTATAATAAAAGAGAGTACAAAATATCGAGAGAGCAACCTCACGAAGAGGCAAACACAAGTGACACACTAACACTCGTCCCGTAAAGTTCTCCCCCTAAACATGACTCTCAAATCCCTTATGGCTACATTGTGGATGCTACTGAATGAGAAGGACGAATCTTCAATTTATAGAAGTCCATATATTTTCCTACAAGAAAAAGGACTAACCAAATATGAAAGAATTATCTTTTTCCTTTAGGAAAAGAAAAGCCCAATTATGGTAAATATGTTATCCTTTCCTTCTTGAAATAGGAAAACCAAATATGATAAGAAAATCAGGACAACTCCTAACAACCTAGCTTGTAGTACATGTTAGCATGTGTGAATTTTAGGACATCATAAATAAAGAATTGATCGTTGCAAATTGTAATAAAGGTTTATGATGGATCAGCTACTCCCACTCCCCCATACATTGTATTATCAACTGTCCAAAATATTTAACATTCCTCATTGAAACTCACCACCATTTAATTCATTAACTGCATTATAAGTGTCAATCGTAAAAATGTGGAAAACAACATTTTAAATTCTAAAAATAAAATACCTAGAAATTAAAGTAAGAATTTAAGTTGGTTTGATGTTAAGCATGAAGTGGGAATAAGCCTTTATTTATGCCAATAGGCTACAGAATTATTGAAAAAAGAAGTCTCAACGAAGATCGTATACTATTTCTGATAAACTGAGTTAATGATTTTGTTGAGTCATCGAAACTTTACATGTCTTACAATTGATCCAATCCTTGTTTTGTGAATCAGGTAGCACATAGGGAACCTTATTGGGATATTATCATTTTTAGTGCGCGCCAGAAATTATTTATATTTGGTAATCGAAAAAGTGTATAAAACTTATATAATATTTGTATATAACATACAGAATGTGTATATTATATAAAAAACATACAAATTCTATATAATTTTTTGGACTATTATTTTTACAGCGGCTATACAGTGTAATTTTTGCAAGCTACTTATTAGGCAGGTTCGTCATACATTTGTATTAAAAAAACAAGGCCCAAGATAGTGAAAATTGAGTCTGGCCCTGTTTCGCATAGAATTTTGAGAAATTTTCATAAAGCACTTTCTTTTAGTGATAATTAGCTATCTATAGATACTATTTGCAATATTACGGATTATAGATACGTTTTCTGTTGTTATAAGATGTATTTGACGTATTTAAGCTACTGTATTCATGATTACAGTAGCATTTCTAGGCGTGAAACAGGGATTACAGCTAGACAGATTTTTGTATTCGACTATATTCATGGCGTGAAACATGGGATTACAGCTGGACAAATTATTGTATTCGACTGTATTCACGACGTGAAACATTGGATTACACTGTTTTTAAACGGAAAGTGAATCAATTAACATAATAGACTCCTAATATAACTCAACAAACTCAATTATAACACACAAAATTTGTATTTCCAGTTATAAAAAAGATTCTCAACCGAAAAATACCCCAAAAACATAGCAATCTTCAGAGAAATTATATAATACATCTGAATACATAAATTATATTAATTAAAAAAAATATATGAATACATTCATGGCATATAGCGAGACAGTGAATACAATGAAATACATAGAATACAGTGGGATACATTGAAATACAATGAAAGAAAAAGACAGTGAATACAATGAAATACATGGAATACAGCGAGATACATTGAATTACAATAAAAAAAAAAAGACAATGAATACAATGAAATATATGAAAATACAGCGTGATACATTGAAAAATATTAACAGAAATTCAAATTGCTCAGCCCCAAATTCCATCGTCTTTGTTCAAGAACAAATCCTAATTTTCGGCGAATCCGTCGTCGAGCAAAAACCCTGAATCTCACTGTTCCCACGCATCATGTACAGTAGATAATTTTGTTGTATTGTAAACAACAGAATAAAACAAGAAGATAGATAATTTCGTTGGAATTGATAATTGTAAATTCCATGGTAATCCAAGAAATTGAATAAGCAGCAAATTGGCCACCTCCCTCTTACTCTCGTTCTCTCTGTTTCGTCCTCTTCTTATCCGTTCCTCTCTACTATATCAGTGTATGTGTATCTTCAATTTTGAGGGAAAGAATGATGAAGATCTAAAGG